CTAGATAAATGATTTTTATATTTTCTCCCATCACAAGGTTACCTTTCCACTGATGAGTGTATCCTTTATCCTTTGACCAAGTTTTTAATTTTGAAGTAGTTCAATTTATCTACTTTTACTTTTATTAACTATGCTTTTCATAGCATACCAACAAAATTACCACTAAATCCAATGTCAAGAGGTTTTTCTCCAATGGTTCTTCTTAGTTTTGTAATTTTAGCTCTTACACTTAGGTCCTTGGTCAGTTTTGAGTTAATTTTTGTAGTTGTATAAGGGTCCAACTTTATGCTTTTGCATGAAGATTATCTAGTTTTCCCAACACCATTTATGGCAGACTATTCTTGGCATTCTTGACCATATATACACAGGTTTCTGGACTCTCTATCCTAGTCCATCAGTCTATACTCCCATCCTTTTGCTAGTACCAAACTGTTTTGATTACTGTAGCTTTGTCGTAAGTGTTGAAAGCAGGAAGTGTGAGACCTTCTAGTTTGTTCTTTTTTTTTCAAGATTGTTGCCTCTTTAGTTTTTTTGAGAATCTACATAAATGAAAAAAATGTCATTGGGATTTTGACAGGGACTGAATTTAATTAACAGTATTATCCCTCCTACTCTATGAATCCAAGATATCTTTCCATTTATTTGTGTTTGATAATATTCAGTACACAGGTCTTTCATATATCTTTTTCTTTATGTACTACTAGGTATTTCAGAATTTTGATTCTATTTTTTTTTGGGGGGGGAGGTGGGACTAGTGTTTGAACTCAGGGCTTCCTGCTTGCAAAGCAGGTGCTCTTTGAACCATACCTCCAATTCATTTTTGCTCTGGTTATTTTGGAGAAGTGGGTCTCACGAACTATTTGCTGAGGCCTCAAACCACAATCCTCCTGATCTCAGACTCCCAAGTAACTAGGATTACAAGCATGTACCACCAGCACCCAGCTGTAATATTTTTCTTTTAATTTCCAATTATTTATTACTAACATATGAAAATATTAAAATACCCTTGTAAAAATATAAAAATACTCTTGATCTTTTTATATGGACCTTGTACTCTGACACTGTTCAAGCCACTTACTACTTGTACTAACTATTTTGTAGGTTCCTTCATATTTCCTGCATAATTATGTTGCCTCTGAATAAAGATATTTTTATTTATATCCAAACTATATGCCTTTTATTTCTTTTTCATTGCTCTTACTAGGACTTCCAAGTATGATTTTGAGCAGAAATAATGAGCAGACATACTTATTTTAATTCTATCAGATAGATTGATCATTTAGACTCTCACCAATAAGCTAGTCTGCTAACTGTTTCATGGATGCTGACAGAAGATAAAAGACTCCTGAGTCAGAGAAAAAGGACTTTATTATTTTTGACACAGCAAACAACAGAACATGCCTGCAGAAGTTTCACTGTCCCCAACTCTCATGGGAGACGTGGATAGGCCCAGATGGATGCCTGTGCATGTAGAAGGATTCATCACAGGAAAACAACAAGCTTTGGGAATGCACTGCTTTGCAGCAAGCTGTAAGTGAGGCTACTCTGTCCCACAGGAAGGCATCAACTCAACCCACAAGGTTGCTCCCTGCAAAAACACCAAGAAATGACCCAAGTAAAAAGAGTTCAGGGCACTGCATTCCTGACCTACCAACGAGACGGACAAGAGCACAGGAGACACAGGAACTGTCTCTCTCAACCCATGCCTTTAGCCATCTAGACTTCTGGCAAATTTACATGCGCTGTGCTACTCAGTTGGCCCGTCTAATTAATCTGACGGGCAAAGGCTGGAACCAAATCTGCTTAATTAGTCTCATATAGCATTTAGTGAAAGCTACTGTCAAGAGGAGTCCATTCAGCAAGATGAGGACACCAGTATGCCTTTTAGGTTCCAGGTCTCAGCCGTACATGAGGAGTCTTAGGGGAAGGGATGGTCCTCAGGCCCTATCTTAGATAGCCAGGATGTACTCTAAGGGCACACAACCTGAACAGTGGAGTTTAAAATAATCTGTCGATTTTTGTAGTGCTAACAATTGGGGTGAGCAACAGGTCAAAAATGTCCACAGCCAATGGAGAAATACTACGTATAAACAGGGAACCTGAAGGAGCCCAAGACACCCCACCTCAAGATGTGTTGTTTAACTTGATTTGTAATACCGTGACACTGCCATATTTAAGCCACATGGGCAGCGGCCAACTCTTGGGACCACAAGAGAAGCAAACAACTTGTAGTAGTCAGATTAAAACAAAGTTATGCCAAACCATGTGGTTGGAAATGCATGTGGGATCTGTGTTCCAGAGCTCCTGCTGCCAGCATGAGGCACAAGAGTTCTTCTGATTTCTTAGCATGACAGTGGGGATGACTGACCCAGCAGCAGGTCAGCTGTGACTTCACAGGTGGATCAGAAGATTATTTTTCCAGGCTGTGGTGAGAAAAGAGAATTAATTGCCCCTAACCTTTAACCTCTTGGAGTCTAGAATGTTCCCTCCTTCAATGCCAAAAGCAGTGTGTCTCCTTCCAGTAGTTCCTTCTTTGCTTTTCCAGTAGGCTGTCCTGGGATTTTATCTACTGTTCCAAATATCTTGAAATTAGGATTGCAGTTGTCTTTTTGAGCCATGAATTATTAGAAGTATATTCTTTGATTTCCAAATATTTGAGTGTTTTCCAAATCCTATTGTGACTATTAAAATCCAGTTCCCTTGAGATCAGAGAATATTCTTGATGTGATTAGGATCATTTTAAATGTAGAAGACAGAATAATGGTCCCCCATACAAAGTCCATGCCCTAATTCCTAGAACTATGAATATGTTACCGTCAGTGACAAAGTAAAATGAAGGTTCCAAGTGGAATTAAGTTTGTTAATCAGATGACCTTTAGAGGGGTGAGTATCCTGAATAACCTCAGTGGGCCCAGTGTAATCACAGCAATCTTTTAAAGTGAAGAGAGAGGCAAAAAAGAGTCAAACCAATGGTGGTGTGAGAAAAACTCAGCCAGACATTGCTGCTGTTGAAGGCAGTTGAGTGGGAAGAGCAAGCACAAATGTGAGTGGCCTGTAGAAGCTGGAAAAGGCTCTGTCTAGAGTCTCCAGAAGGAACACAACCAGGCTGAGATCTTGATTTTAGTTCAGAAAGACCCATTCTGGACTTCAGACCTCCAGAACTGTAAAATAACAAATTCATGTTGTGTCAAGCCAGTAAGTTTATGGTAATTTGTGACCACAGCCATAAAAAGTGAGGACAGTAAATTTATCAAGACTCATTTATTACCCAGAATATATTCCATGTTGGGTAACACACTTGATAAAGTATTTATTCTGCTGTGCAAATATCAATTAGGTCAGGCTAGTGGGTAATGATATTCAAATCTTAATATCCTTACTGGTTTTCTGTCTACTTTTCTATCAGTTATTGGAAACAGGATATGAAATTTCAAAATATAATTGAAAATTTGTCCATTTTACCTTTGAGATTTATCAGTTTCTGCTTCATGCATTTTAAAACTTAATACCTGCACACACATTTAGGATGACTGGGTCTTCTTGATGAATGGACCCCTTCATCATATAATCTCCCTCATTATTCTTGGCTACGATCTATGTTCTGAAGTCTATTTTGTTTGATATAAATATAACAACCCCGGTTTTCTTTTGATTAATATTTACCTGGTATATCTTTTCCCATTATTTTACATTTAACATTTCTGTATCTTTAGGGATGAAATGGGTTTCTCATAGACAGCAAATAATTTGATTGTACGTATTTACCCAGCTAACAATTCATTCAAAAGGGAGTGCTTTGACCACTCACGATCAAGGTAATTATAAATAAAATTAGGATTGAATTTACCTTTTTGGTATTTGTTCTTTGATCTCCATTACTGGCCTATTGAGCATGTTTCTGGTTTACTTGCTTATTTGTTTATTAATGGTTAATATTTTTTAAAGTGATTTCTCTATGTTTTACCATAATCCATCTTTAACTTACCACAATGTATGCACAAATAATACTTTCTCTTCATGGAAACTCTAAGAATCTTCAATGGTAAACATTCATTTCCTCAAATTCCACCCCATCCTTTATTTTATTGTTACTTTAGATTTTATTCCCACTGCCTTCTAAGCCCTTAATACATGCTAGCTTTGCATCAGAAAGTTAATTCCCCTTTAATTCTGAAAATAATCAGATTGTATTTATCTACATTCTCACTATCTCTGGTGCTCTTTATTCTTCCCTGTACTTCTGGATTTTCACCTTGCACTATGATTTTCTTTTGCCTGAAGAACTTCCCTTAATACTTCTTGCAGGGAAAGTGTGCTGATAATGGATTCTCTCAGATTTTGTTTGTCTGGAAGACTCTATTCCACCTTCACTTCTGGAAGATTTTTTTTTGCTAAAATTGCAATTCTAGGTTGATAGCATTCTTCTTTCAGCAATTTCATATTCTGTCTGACATACTTTCTGTTGAGAAGTCTGCTATTATTCTTATCTTTGTTTCTGTATGTATTCTATCTCTGGTTGAACTGGATTTTTTTCCTTTCTACTGGTTTTCAGTAAGTTGATGTTCAGGTGCCTTTATGTTGTTTTCTTCATGATTTCTTCTGCTAGGGATTGATTCAACTTCTTGGATCTGTGCATTTACAGTTTTCAACAAGTTGGAAAAATTATCATTAGTCCTTCAAATACTTTTTCTACCTCTCTCTTCTCCTATTGGGACTCTAATTGTACATACATAAGAAGCTTGATACTACCTCATAGCTATTGAAAAATATTACCAAAGCATCAACTTTTTACTGTTTTATACTGGATTTTTTTTTCCCTGACCAAATCTGGGGATGTTTAATCCATTAAGTTTTAATACTTTCTTAAGTTTAATGTTGGTATTGTAGGTTTACATATCGGTTTATACAACTTACATTAGATTCTATACATTCATTTTTGCAAGGACATCATATCTTCAAAGATGTACATTCAATAACTGGGAAATTATCACACTTCTAGTCTATACTTTCAGGTTTGTCCGATCATGATACTTCAGATAAGGATCATCAACGTACCAGTTTCGCCTCTTCCAGAAAGATGTTGTCATTTTATCTAAGAGTTTACTCTGGGTTTTATTACAGAACACAAATTCTCTCAAGCGTCTTTTTCTTGCAGTTGTCTTTTTCCATAATTTTTTCTTATAACCTGCCTTTCTCCTTAGCCAAAGGCCAGAATGAAGTCGAAGAAACCGATAGACTACAGCTTTTACAGTCTTTCTCTTTCCTTTTCGTGAACTGAAGTATGTTACAGTTCTGACTGGTAGCTTCAGGGCACTGGGAGTGAAGGGGTCCACTCTGAAGCGCCTCTCACGGCGCCCGCCACCGCGGAGGCAGCCATCTTGCTCGCTCGCCCTATACTGGATATTTTTTAAATGTATGTCATCAAATTTGCTATTCTTTTCTCTTGCAGTATCTAATCTGCAATTAATCCCATTCAGAGCATTCTTTCATTTCAGATATTGATTCATCACCATAAGTTGAGTTTGAGTTGTTTTTGAAGTCCTTTTCATGCTCATGTTTTATTATACCTCCTTGAACAAACGATGAGACAAAATAGCTGTTCTAACAAACCTGTTGGCCAATTCTATCATCGCTTTAATTTTTAATTAAGCTTCTCTTGATTACTTTTCACCTGTCTCTTGGTGAAAAGAATTTGAATTTTCTTCCTTTTTTATACTTGATAATTTTCACTGGACATAGGAATTTTATGTTTCTAGGTACTGGCTTTTAGGGTTTTTTAAATTCTTTTAAATAATATTGGGTTTTCTCATGAAATACAGTACTGTAGTTTGGTAAGTGCCCCCAAAAGGAACCCAGAGTGATGTTATTAAGGGATGGTGCAACTCTTAGAAGGTGGAGCCTAGTAGGAGATTTTTAGGAATTGAGGACATGTTCTCAAAGGGCATTCTGGGACCCCGACCCCTTCTTCTGTCTCTTTGCTCCCTGGCTCCATATAAAATGGTTTTGCTCTACCACACACTCCCACCATAATATGCTTCCTCACTACAGGCCCAAAACAATGGGGCCAACCAATCTTAGACTGGAACCTCCAAAACTATGACCAAAATAAATATTTTCTCTTTATAATTTAATAATCTCAGGTGATTATTTTGTTATGATAATAGGAAGCTCAATAATACATAATGTTAAATTAATTCAGGGCTTACTTTTAATTTTAAGCTTTGTTTCAAGAATGTCCAGGGTAGCCTTTAGCATAGGGCTAATTTGTCTACGTTACTGAGGCAATGCCTTTCTGAGAAGTCTACTTGACCTGTGTATTATGAGATCTTTCCACCCCATCTGGTAATAATACAAACTATTCTTAGTTCTGTGTGAGCTCTGAGGACTGTTGTGCCTACTCCTTTCTAATGGTTCTTTTTCTGTCTTTCTGGCTTTCATTCTTTTTCTTTCTCTTTCTTTTTTCCTTATGTTTCTTTCCTCACATAATTTTCTCCTATGTCCCATGCATGCACAGAATCTGAGCCAAAGACTCAGGGGACTTGGCAGAGCTCTACGGTTTTCAACGTGTGCATCTGTCTAGGATTTTTCCTCACAAATTCTGACCTCCTCAAATCAATCTAAACTCTGCTTTAACCCAGCAGAGTTAGAAAGAAAGTGCTGGACTTTCCTTCCAGCACTGTGGGCTGGAAAGTCTCTGTGCAGTAAGTTAGAGTAGAAAGAGTGCTCATGCCTTGGTTGGTTGGGTTGGTTGGTTTTCTCTCTTTCTAAAAAGATCATACTCAAGGCTGCCTATTGTCTGAAACTATTCTTCAGCACAGTTCTTAAAAGCAGAAAGCTCCCATCACTCCATGATGGCAAAAGGGAATTATTTTCCTGTTATCAATTAAAACTTTTGTTTCAACTTTCTAAAACTGTTTATAGCAAATCTATTTAAAAGACAGTACACTGTAATACACGTTTGTTATACAAAAAATGTAGGTGGAGGATAAATGTCAGAGTAATTTTTTCCTTGATGGACAAAATCATAGAAAAGAAAATAATCAGCAGGTTGACTATCTCAGACAATAAAATTGTCATAGTAGTTCAGGCCTTCCCTTACATCAATATTGTGGAGACTGAAAAGTGACAGACAACAAGGTAGACTTGCCCACTTCATTCATCAATGAGCACCTGTTGAATTGTCTTTTTATATCTCAGGTTATGCTGTAAGCACAAGACTGACACAAAGAAAGATCCCTGTTGCTGCTCTTATAAGAAACTTTAATAGGCGATAACACATTTTATGAAGCAAGTATTACACTTATCCCAAAACCAGGCAAAGACACCTCCAAAAAGGAGAACTATAGGCCAATCTCCTTAATGAACATTGATGCAAAAATCCTCAATAAAATAATGGCAAACCCAATTCAACAACACATCAAAAAGATCATTCACCACGAGCAAGTAGGCTTCATCCCAGGAATGCAGGGTGGTTCAACATACAAAAATCAATAAACGTAATAAACCACATTAACAGAAGCAAAGACAAAAACCACTTGATCATCTCAATAGATGCAGAAAAAGCCTTTGATAAGATCAAACACCATCTCATGATAAAGGCTCTAAGAAAACTAGGAATAGAAGGAAAGTACCTCAACATTATAAAAGCTACATATGACAAACCTACAGCCAGCATTATACTTAATGGAGAAAAACTGAAACCATTTCCTCTAAAATCAGGAACTAGACAAAGATGCCCACTATCTCCACTCCTATTCAACATAGTACTGGAATTCCTAGCCAGAGCAATTAGGCAAGAAGAAGGAATAAAAGGAATACAAATAGGTAAAGAAACTGTCAAAATATCCCTATTTGCAGATGACATGATCCTATACCTTAAAGACCCAAAAAACTGTACTCAAAAGCTACTAGACACCATCAATAGCTATAGCAAGGTAGCAGGATATAAAATCAACATAGAAAAATCAGCATTTCTATACACTAATAATGAACAAACTGAGAAAGAATTTATGAAAACAATTCCATTTACAATAGCTTCAAAAAAAATCAAAAACCTAGGTGTAAACCTAACAAAGGATGTGAACAACCTCTACAAGGAAAACTATAGACTCCTGAAGAAAGAGATTGAGGAAGACTATAGAAAGTGGAGAGATCTCCCATGCTCATGGATTGGTAGAATCAACATAGTAAAAATGGCTATACTCCCAAAAGTAATCTGTTTAATGCAATTCCCATCAAAATTCCAATGACATTCATTAAAGAGATTGAAAAATCTACCATTAAATTTACATGGAAACACAAGAGGCCACGAATAGCCAAGGCAATACTCAGTCAAAAGAACAATGCAGGAGGTATCACAATACCTGATTTCAAACTATATTACAAAGCAATAACAATAAAAACAGCATGGTACTGGCACAAAAACAGACATGAAGACCAGTGGAACAGAATAGAGGACCCAGATATGAAGCCACACAACTATAACCAACTTGTCTTTGACAAAGGAGCTAAAAATATACGATGGAGAAATAGCAGCCTCTTCAACAAAAACTGCTGGGAAAACTGGTTAGCAGTCTGCAAAAAACTGAAACTAGATCCATGTATATCACCCTATACCAATATTAACTCAAAATGGATGAAGGATCTTAATACCAGACCCAAACTCTAAAGTTGATACAGGAAAGAGTAGGAAATACTCTGGAATTAATGGGTATAGGTAAGAACTTTCTCAATGGAACCCCAGCAGCACAGCAACTAAGAGGTAGCATAGATAAATGGGACTTCATAAAACTAAAAAGCTTCTGCTCAACAAAAGAAATGGTCTCTAAACTGAAGAGAACACCCACAGAGTGGGAGAAAATATTTGCCAGCTACACATCAGACAAAGGACTGATAATCAGAATATATAGGGAACTTAAAAAACTAAATTCTCCCAAAATTAATGAACCAATAAAGAAATGTGCACGTGAACTAAACAGAACTTTCTCAAAAGAAGAAATTCAAATGGCCAAAAAACACATGAAAAAATGCTCACCATCTCTAGCCATAAAGGAAATGCAAATTAAAACCACACTAAGATTCCCCATCACCCCTGTTAGAATAGCCATCATTAGCAACACCACTAACAACAGGTGTTGGCGAGGTGTTTAGTCACTAGTTCTCTTTAAGATAGAGTCCTGAAATTTTATGCAGCCATGAAGAACGAAATGTTATCATTCGCTGGTAAATGGATGGAATTGGAGAACATCATTCTGAGTGAGGTTAGCCTGGCCCAAAAGACCAAAAATCATATGTTCTCCCTCATATGCGGACATTAGATCAAGGGCAAATACAACAAGGGGATTGGACTTTGATCACAAGATAAATAGAGAGCACACAAGGGAGATATGAGGATAGGTAAGACACTCAAAAAACTAGATAGCATTTGTTGCCCTCAACACAGAGAAACTAAAGCAGATACTTTAAAGCAACTGAGGCCGATAGGAGAAGGGGACCAGGAACTAGAGAAAAGGTTAGATCAAGAAGAATTAATTTAGAAGGTAACACACATGCACAGGAAAGCAATGCAAGTCAACTCCCTGTATAGCTATCCTTATCTCAACTAGCAAAAACCCTTGGTCCTTCCTATTATTGCTTATACTCTCTCTTCAACAAAATTAGAGATAAGGGCAAAATAGTTTCTGCCGGGTAGCATGTGGTAAGGGGGGGTAAGGGAGGGAGCGGTGGAGGGGGGGTAAGAGAGGTGTGGGGGGAAGGGGGGAGAAATGACCCAAACATTGTATGCACATATGAATAAAATAAAAATTAAAAAAAATAGGTGAGATAAAAATACAGACGTAGAAAATACGTATCAGTATGCAGTATGTATCATTAGAAAAGTATTTAAATATTACAGAAATTAGTGGAGGAAAGAGATGGCTCAGACTATGTACTTTAAATATATTGGGATTACCCAAGAGTTGAAATAAAAGAGCCATCATTTAAACTTAAAATTTCCAGCTATCTTGCCTCAAGCAAAAAAGCACAGGCTTATTTGTCAGATTGAAACTTTGACCTTGTTTTGTCCTCTTTGAAAATGTTGGTCTGTTATACATTTTTCCCCCAAAACAATCCATTCCACCCAAGTGAAAGACTTAATCTAATGCAAGCCTAACATTTGGGGTCATTTCTTTAACATCTCAAGATGTTCACGTGCTGGATCATAGCAGCCTCACTGATTGCATCCTAACAACTCTCAAATTGTCACAAACTCTAAATCACAATCACTGTAGTCTTCCCTTTATGTCAATGCATCTCAAAGTGTATTTCAGGGAGCTACAGCCATTCCAGACAGTCTATGAAAAGGTTCAAAGGCAAATTGGCAATTGAGGGTGAGGAGGAAAGGGTGAAGGGGAGGTTCCTGAAATAATGTTGTTCCCTACATTTCACAAGTATGAAATGTAATGTTAATTATTATTTACATACCCTCAAAAGATTATGATTTTTAGAAGACCCTAGCTATTATCTGGTTAATGATCCAGCATGTTAGCTAATATTTTTTATTACTTACATTAACCGAACATAAAATTTCATTGCTTCCTTGCGTTGTATCCTCAATGCATAACATGCATCAGTAGTTCAAGATGGATAG